TTTTTCTCACACATTTATTCTCAAAAGATTTTTGTCGGGACTTTTTTCACAAATCAGTAATGTTATTGTTCTACTACCTAATGACCTTTTTTTTTACTTTCCAAAAAGGCCCCGTATTCTTGTGTGTCCAAGGGCCCCAGCCTAGTTTAAAACGGCGGTGTATAATGCTTCTGTGCACGACGCACCTCTTTGTATATTATTTATGTATTTTATGTATTATTTTATATAGAAACATATATATGACATTGTCATTCTTGTCCTGCTAATTATTATACTTTTGTACATAATATTATATTATTGCTTCCTAAAACCCGTGTTTGCATAATTATATCTACCAGCCCATATATATACAATCCTTCGTTCACAGCTTCTATTCTATGTATATTATTATTTGCATGTATTTAAAAAAAAATCCATATCTATAACACAAGCTCTGCTTACCGTGGGACTAGATGGCGCTGCGTTAATTTTTCAGGGTTATTTACTATTTATTTACGGATAAATAGAGTCGTAACAATGACAGACTGTACAAAAACTGTCGTATTTATATGACAAAAACGTATGACTAATAAATTGAAACTCGTAAATAATCTTTTAATTGATCTATTTTTTGTTTACGTTACACCGTTGACTGTACCCATATTGAGAGCGTTTTTTATACTACAATCATGATTAACAAGGCTATTGGTGACATTTGGTTGGCCGTATGCTACGTTTACCGGTAACCGTCTGACGTCCATTTCCTACTGAATAAAAAAAAGTTAAGATATCTTTTACATCGTCTCTCTAGAACTACGAGAATGATTATCATCATCTTCTTTATATGTGCAGTTTATATGTTTATTCTATACTATAACACACATGTATTATACATATAAACCTTCCTCTTGAATGACTCTATCTATTGCTGAAAACTGCATTAAAATCAGTTGCGTAATTTAAAAGATATAAGCGAACAGACAACGGTGGCGACTTTGTTTTATATTGTGTAAAGAAATGTATACTCTTATCCTTATACCTATTTACCATATATATATTTGACAGTCATTATTAGCAACTAATATGTTATGCGGAGGAACGAGGACCATGTCTTATGGAAAGTGTATAATATGAATGTGGATGGATGTAAAGTGAGGGGACGTCCTAAGAAAAGATGGATGGATTGTGTGGAAGACGACATGAATAAAAGAGTATGTTCAGATATGACGACCGATAGAGAGCAGTGGAAGAGAATGACATACTGCGCCGACCCTAAATAATGGGATAAAGGCCAGGCAATGATGATATTAGCAACTAACATATATTCTACGTGAGCGGGGCCGCGGGATATATTTATTTATTTAAACTTTAATGCACAAATACAATATATAAATGTACATATGGCGAACTTAACACCTAAGGAAGGGCGTTCTCTACCAGTCAACCATAAGGCAAACTGAGAAGTTAGTAAGCGGCGCATTATACTTTATATCTAGTTATTTATAAAAAAAACTCATGAAAAAAAATTTACATCTATCTTAATTTTTTACCGTTCCATCATTAATTACAAGTCCCTTACTCTTATAGTCTAAATAATAATAAAAATCATCATGATCTTTATTTGTTTCAAACTAATACAGTTGCTACCCATACAATAATCAAATTTTAAACTAATGAACAAGACAAAACGGTCTATAACACAGTGAGGGCAGTGAATCCACCCTCTGCTATTCTGTTACAGCCTTTACCAGTAAATTAATACAATAAGAGATCGACAACGACGATAAGCTATTAACAAAGTAAACATAACAATTGACAATAACTTAACAAGACAAACTAATAAAATTGGATAATAACAAACTAAATCCATCTTAACTTAACCGTCTTCCTGATTTCAATAATATTATGGTGTTATTACAATATGCGACAAAATGCCTTTTGCTTTCCAAAGCTGTGGTGAAAACAGTATTATTACAGCACCGTGTTACTTTCGCTTCATTATCGTATTAAATCGATATAAGGAATAATACTTATCATTAGTAACCACTTAACTTGACGGCCCCGGTGGTCCAGCGGTTAAGCACACCGCTTTCCGATGGTCGTGGGTTCGATTCATCGCACGGTGCAAACATTTGTATTCATGAGTATGATTGTTTGTATCGATCAGAGTGTTATCTATGTATATTATTTATGTATTTACGAAAAAAAATCTATATATTTGTATCCGTTGTTTCGTACCTATAATACAAGCTTTAGCTAGCTTAACTTGGGTCTTGATGGCGCTGTTTCAATTGTGCAAGGTTATTATCTTTATTATTATTATTATTAACTTGAATGCCTTTATAGTGTAGTAGTAAGTAGGGAATGGGTTCCGAAATATCAGTTTCGGGTTCAATTCTGTTTAGAAAAAAAAAATATTAAAGGCATCTGTGTACTTAGATAAATATAATAAAGTGGAAAGGTTTGTAACTTCGTAACGAATAATTAAAAAAAAAATGCTACATCCCTGAGTAACATAGCCTATATGGTGTTTATTATTAGAAAAAAATACCAAAACTTTAATAATGTTACCCAAAGTTAATAAAAAATGCCTTTACACTATGTTTATATCAAATTGTTAAAATAAATAAATGTACGCCCGTGTAAAGCCGAGCTGCGTCGCTAGTATACAATATTCCCTCAAAAAACTGATTATAAATACATATACATAGAATTGTCGATAAAATTTCGTCTTTATTATATAATATGTAAAATTCTTTATTCATAAACCAACTAGCTGTCCCGCAAACGTTGATTTGCCATATAAATTTAAGTACTAATATCGCTATTTAAAAATAGATTTCGGTGATAGAAGAGTGAAAATTTAGGGTTGTATGTATTTTTATACCACATTATATATATTTTTTAAAAATTATCCAGAAAATACAAAATAAAGTTAGGATTGGACAACCCTTATCACTTAGGGGTATGAAAAATAGATATCAGCCGATTCTCAGACCTACCAAAATTGCTTATAAATTCATAAAAACCCATCGAGCCGTTTCGGAGGAGTATGGTAACTGACATTGCGACATGAGAATTTTATATACAGTGGACCCGCGGTAATCCGGCCCCTGTCTAATCCGGCCCCCCTTGTAATCCGACATTGTCTATTATTTATTATTGAATATTACTTTGACAATATACCGCAGAGTACATATACATACATATATAACAGAATCTTATCACTGGATCTGTAATTTGTCGGATTACAAGATACTCTTTTGTAAAAAATTCTGGACTATAGGGACCCTTAAGCAGCACTCTATAATCCGACAAATACGCTGGTCCGACACTGCCAAACATTTGTCGGATAACCGGGGGTCCACTGTATATTCGTTTATAGCTTATAGAACTTGAAACCTAAGCTAATAAGCTATAAGTATATTGCAACGGATAATAAGGGCCATTGCTCATTACATCATACGAAATCATTTAGTATGTATTGTTACTCTTCACGCGTACGTAGGTGGTCGTTGCTTCATTACCTCGATTGTGACATGGATATGACGTTTGGAATTAGTTAGTGGTATTACCTTCACTGTCCTTTCGTAATTCCACAAATAAACAATCAGCAGCAGGCGTGATGGATTTTTTTAATGGATGATTATGGTATGATGCACCCACCTGCGCCAATGATTTACGCTGGTGGAGCACCAGTGGAGGATGATAAGATGAGGTCAAGCCAGTTAGCCCACCGTGAATTTATCACGATGGTTTCCAAGGGATTCGCGTGGAGGTCAACCTGACAATATTACTAGCAATCTTCTTTCCTCTTAGGTTGAAGAACTCTACCGTTGTTGACCTCCACACTCTAGAAACCACTGTAGGTAATTCCTGGTCAACTAATCATGATATATCATTCTCCACTGGTACCAGCACCACATTTGGCTTAGCACTCTGCTTAGCTTAGAACTGGACAGATGTCCTTGTGTGAATTGTATGTGAATTAACAGGGTGTTAGCTTCAATACATAAAGAACACTCAGTTGACTAGTTTGTTACTTACATTTCAAATTTGGAACCGTAGTGAGTCACGTGATGTTGGTGGCGTCACGATTATGCCGCCACCAATAGCAATAGATATAAAGAGGCCGGGAACAAGGAGGGAGGGGACTGCTCTCTTTGTTCGAGGCGACCGAGACGACCAGACATGAATGTACAGCGATGCAATTTATGTGGAGTGTAATTAGAAAAATGAATAAAATAAAAGTACTGCTGCATTGACGTATCATTTCTGAAACTTCCCAATAAGGGATAAAATGACCTGATAACCAAATTGTACGTAGAGCCTCAAGAAAAATAGACATATGAAGAGAGAAGTATATATATTTCTAAATAAATCTTCAGTAAAATAAACACCAATTTGAAATCAATAAATCGTAACAAAAACGATAACCATCGATTACTAAAAACATCAAAGTAATAATTGAAACTTCGCAATAATATGGTAACATATGGAAAATAAATATCTCAATGTTCTGTACATTTCCCATTGGGTTGTAAACATTTGGAAACAATATTACGAGCGAGTAAACTTAAAAACATTGAGATTATATAAAAAGAGCAATTAGTTACATACGCAATGTATTGTGTAAGTATTCTTAAAAAGTAAATTGCTCACATCACGCCAATGTTGATTCAGTCTTTGTTTCTGAAACCCCATAAGATGCTAGAGATAAAGTTAAATTTCCATTGCAATGTTATAATTACTTATTCGAAGATTACAATAGAAACATCACGCGCTAAATATTACGTTTACCTTATATATAAATTTCTCGTGTCACAATTTTAGTTGCCATACTCCTCCGAAACGGCCGATTTTTATGAATTAATTAACAATTCACACAGCGTAATATAATCCCAAGCTAAGTACATACATACATACACATACTACATAGAAAACGCCCTGTTCAATGTGAATAGTTACACTCATGAATACAAGAAGAAATAAAATATCTTAAACCGTAATTTTTTTTTCAGATGGCGCACCACATTGTGCCCCAACTGGCCTGCTTCATACTGCTGTTGGCTGCCACATCATCACACAAGGAACAAACGAGATGGTCTCGACAAATTAGCTCCTACACTTCAGACATTAGCGATTGGGTACCTCTTTCCGGACCTATAGAGAGAGAGGCACCTCAGATCAAACCAGCGACTCCGATCAAGAGGCAGGCGGTCGCTGAACCCAGAATACTGACAGAACCTTTCCCAGGATTTGCAAGACCGAATGGCTTTAGCCAAGAATCTTTCCCATCGAGAACATACTTCAATTCCCCAGCAAACAGACAGTTATATTTGCAATCCGTGCCGTCAGCCCCACAGAACTTTTTAACTGATCAAGGTTTTGGCCAGAGCATTAGATTTGGTCTGTCACAACCAAATTTCCCATTGAACCAAGGTTTTGTCGCACCTCAACTCAGTTTCGAAAATGGTCCTCCAACACGCGCGCCTCAGAAACAACCTATACCACCCAGTCAAGTTCAATTTACAAAGCCAAATATACCGTCGATACAACAAACCAAACCATTTATAAATCAAGTACCGAAACCAACTCTGGAAACTGCGAAATTTGTAGACGGATACCGCGTGGAAAATCAATCTAGTAGCAACTTTGGTTTTAATGCACAAAAGAAACTGCAATCACTTCAGAAGCTTAAATTTGAAGTACCAAAAACAGAGCAGATAGCATCAAAAACAAAACCTGAAAGAGAAGAAGTACAACTACTTTATGTTCCTCTAGAATCGTTAAATAGAGGGCAGTTTAATTTCAGAAGTCCAGTAGCTACCCCACAAATATTAAACTCTGACTTATATTCTCAAGGACTACCAAAACTTGAACCAATGCAACAAACATTCATAGCTGATTATCAGAGACCAGTAGCGAAGCCAGTCGACGCTTTCTCATCTAATAAAGATTACTTCAGTAACTACGATCTTTTCAAAGAAATTGACCAAGTGCCAAAGTTCTCTACTATTACTTCACCTTTTCCCACTTCTCCACCTACTACTCCTAAACCAAAAAAATTGAAGCCGCATCAACCACCTCTAGCTATATTTCAAGAAGGGAAGAAAAATAGTAATATAAAAGTTGGTGACGTTTTAGCATCATTGAAAAATGCTAACACTATCGCCGTCCTAGATTCTGTCAATCCTTTAAATGCACCAAAGGTATTTATCGGCCCATCTTCGTTGACACCACCTGAAAATTTCGTCAAATTTGAATTACCATACTTGTCTAACATTGAACATACCGATAAAAAACTTCGACAATTACCATTTTTTGTTGCACCCTTGAGTTATAATACTCCTAATGGTTTTGCCAAAATTCCTTTTCCATCTCCACACGTGGGTTCTGTAGTAATAAATTCACTGATTAAAGAGACGCCATCTACTGCATATCCAACATCTAAGTTCCAATCTACGCCACAATACCACACAACGCCAACAGTGCTTTCAACTCCAACCGCTAAAATAATTCCAAATTCGTATTCGATAACCCCATCACATAAACAAGAACATAAACCGGAGATATCTCAAAATTATAATTATTATACTACGAGAGCTCCTAAAACGAATCCACCACCAAGGCATGAATCAACTTATTACTCAATTGAACCTCAAACGATCACAGCTCTACCGCCTTTGAGGGAATCCGCACCTAATCCTGAGAAAGCACAAAAGACTGGTTATTTCTTATCCAATATTGGTGATCAATATAATGCTCCTCAATTTGTTAAATTTCCAACTCAAAATGATGATAGAAAACCAGACAATACAAGATTTTATACTGCCGGACCAAAGGCAGAAACAACAACTTTAAAACCAACGACCACAGTTACGACTACGAAATCATCAACTCATTCAAATCAATTACTAGAGACACATAACCCTTATTCCATAAATCAAGCTTTCCACTTCAGTACCCCATTAGATTATCACAGTTATTTCGACGAATTCAAAGATTCATACGCTCCTCCTCCACCTGGATTAAAACTTGAATTACCAAAGACTTCCCAGGCCCCAATAAGCACAACTCCACGACAAAATCTGCCCGCGAAATCTGACGAAATTGTCACACAGAAATCAACACAACAAACATCTCCAAATTATTTACAAAATTATAGCCCTGAAATTCACTATGAATCTGAAATAGAAAACATAAAACATTCAGTGTATAATTCCAACGACTTTACCACAAAAACTCAAACGACGTATAATCCACTTCAAAATGCTAATATTGCTAATGTCGATACTAGTTTACAAAGTAATCAAAATAACCAACCACAATACTCCGTAAATGATAACGTACAAGGTTATGAAAACTTAACAGAAACTATAATTAATAAAATAACAGGACCCTCAGCAGAAGTAGATAATCAAAGACAAGTCTACAATAGATATGAAAATGGATACGAGTCCGAAGAAATCGCACGTCCAAGCCCTACCACTTCGACAACAAGTACTACAACGGCTGCATCCACTACTAGAAGGAACCCAATCAGAACCAGAGGCCGACCGAGATATACTACGACTCCGAGAACCGAGTCAAGCGAATCTATAACCAAATCTACGGTCACTCGTAGACCACTGAGAGAAAGAAGACCTCTACCTTCTAGGCCTAGATATGAACCTAACAAAATTTCAAACGAAAGGACGACTCGAAAACCTATCGATACTAATGAAAGTTCTACAAAATCTCCTCGAACGAGATCAAGAGGTCGTATTCAATACAAACCTTCTGGAAATGATGAAATATATGAGAAGAAAAATAAATTACAGAACGGAAAAGAGACTGATCTTGCATATCAAAGAGATATTCTCCACCAAAACTATCCAGTCACATTAATGGAAAGAACAAGTACAGTAGATATAGAGGCTATAACTGAACCATCTCCAAAAAATCATTATACTAAATCTGTACAAAATGGACCTGAAATTTATGATACAGAAAATGCCTATGCTCATCAATCCCCTGCTGTAACTCAATTGGGTGGTGATATTGATTACAAAGAAGAAGTTCCCAATTATACTTCACGGTCAGAATCCTCTATAGAATATCAGCAAACTCGAAGTAGCCCAGCACCAGTTCAACAAACAGTATCGCAAGAAGATTATATTGAAAAACAACAAGAACTGCCAAGTCAAACAATATCTGAACAAAATTTTGAAAAACCAGAAATAATAGCATATGCCACAGAGCCAACTTTTAGTGCCAATACTGAACAACCTGAGTATTCAGTTGCCCATGAAGAATCTTCGGCAAAACAAGAAGACACTACCAGTCACGACATTGAAATTACCAAAGTTGGAAGTCAGGAAACTAATACTGAAAGTGAACCAGAAGAAAATATTGTTCAAACTACGCCATCGTACAACAGAGTACGAGTACGTCCAGGAGTAATAAAACAATATCATCAAGCCTCGTCTACAGAAAGTTCTAGATCAAAATCTGACAGAAGAAGACCTGTACATGCTGTAACTTACAGACCAGCTTTTGATAGACGTAGAACTACAATGCGGATTGAAGAAATAGAAGCTGACTTAAAAACAAAGCAAGTACATGCTCGTACTGAGGTTCAGGATCATAGACATCCGGTCTATAAACCAGATTCTTCTACAGAGCCTTCTATAAGTTCATCTACACAAGAGTCTTTCATAAAACGTGGTCAGTTTCGTCGTCGTCGCCCGTCCTACTCAACAACAACTACTGAAGCTACAAGCACAAAAAAGATATATGAAGTAAAAAATAGATTTAGAGGCCGACGACCCACAGAAAAACCTACTGAAAAACCTGACATTCAAACGGAATCATCTCCAGCAACTGTTAGAAGTACATACAGCAGTAGATACAATCATAAATCAAGGTTATCAGAAAGGTACAACAAGAAACCCGAAATTGAATCTGAAGAATCAGAAGATCAGGATCCCAACTACTCCATCACCAGACCAAAGTATCTTGCGCCGGAAACTGAACAGTGGTCACCAAAAATTTCATCCGAATCTTTTAAACCCTATAACCCTAATGACATTTTAGATGAAAGTAAAGTTGCTACAACTGAGCGCAGATCTGACAAATTACAAGATAATATTGAATTAGATATTATAACAGCAAGAAATGAGTACGATGATATTCTCATATCTGTAACACCAGCTACAAATAATAGAGTCAACAAGAAGATACCTGATATACCACCGACACTTGAAGCTCTTGTAGAGCAAAGTAAAACAACAAAAGGCGAATCTAGCGATAATATGTCTACTTTTGAGACTATGTTAGAAGAAGTAATGAAAAGCTTAGAAGAACAAGATAAAGATGAATATACATCGAAAGTAACCAAACATAAGGGTGGTGAAATTGGAGAGATACCACCAGAGAGAATAATTTATCCAGGAGAAGAGTTTGCGACTAAACAATCTACCACTATCGAAGATGAGATTATAACAGCGGCACCTGCGACTGAAGATAATACTGCCAATATCAGCCAGGTACCTTAATATTATTATTATATACTTTTATTATGACTTATCGACATAAATGTTGCATATCCATTATTTTATTCCATTTTCCACAATAAAATGTAAAAAGTTAGCTTCATTTAAATAGTTGACATAATTCAGTATTTACTAAGAACTAAATTTTTTTACCTCAACTGTGACAATGTTTTATATTAGAAATTAGATTTTAATTTTTTTAACTTAGTACATAATTTACAATAATATTGTTTCAGGATGGGCCCAAAGGAAAAAATCGTCGTCGGGGATTCTGGAAGAAAGTTAAAGTACGACCCAGCACAGAATCTATAGAAGTAGCAGAATCTCAATACTACACTAACACAGTTAATCGACTTGGAGAATCTGTGAAACTTTCTAACGCGGTACATGAGAAATCTAATATAAACGAGAAGCCTAAAATATCTGCCACGACTTACAAACCGAGCTTCCAATTCATAAAAGATATTTTTGCGAGCAATGAGGAAAGTCTTTATGATGCCGATGCACTTTCATACGTAGACATACCAAAAATTGACAAAGAGGTTACATCAGAGCATAGTGAAGGACCTGTAGATGACGAAGCTAAAATTAGTGAAACGTATACTACGAAAGAAGCTACAACTATCAAATCAACCAGTGTGGAAGATGAAGATGTTGGTACAAATACCCCAGATCCTACTATCATGGACAATATGTATTTTAGTACACCTACTGAACCCACAGCGAGTGAAAATGTATTAGGAATACTTGACAAAACTGACAGTTTCAGTTTTATGGACTATCTCTTCGGTACAACTTCTAGTGATAATAAAGACGTAGTAAGAAATGACACCATTACAAAGGTACCTCAGAAAAATATCGAATTAACCACAGAACAAATAAAGACTAAATTATCTACCACCGAAACAACTTATATTCCTGATGAAATCACAACTGAACCTTCAAATCAGGATGATCAGGATACTTTTGAGGATATTAAAAAGATTTCTAATGACGATAAAACAAAAGCCGCAATAACTACAACCCCAATAACAAATATAGAAACGTCTTCTGTTTCTAGTTTTATGAACCCAGCGAATGTTCTAAGTACATCTATGTCAACAGAAATATCACATGAAACGGAAATTTGCTTTAGAGGAAAATGTATTAAAACTAATAAAGATATTTTATAAAACTAGAAAATGTTAATCTATGGTGCTAAAGACTTGTTCAGAAGTAGTGACTAGAGACAAAGTGATTATGTGTAAATTGTGTAAACCTCAAATATTTTTGTATTATTTTTTGTAGTATTTGAGTCATTGTCTAACGTAGCCTTATGAGATATTTATTGATGTACCTAAATGTAAGTTTTGCGGTGAAATCTTGTAAATAGCATAACCTCTTTACTTGGTTCCACCTTCTTATTTTTATTCTTAGGATGTAGAACTAATGTTATTTTAACTTTTAGGTTTGTGGCCACATCTAAAAGTTAGACGGTGTATAAAATTAAAATATAATATTACATAGTATTTAATGTATAGTTTTAAAGTTTTCTATTTTTGTATAAAAAAAATTATTTATATACGATGACAAGAAAATTTATATTCTAGACTTCAAATCATAATCGTCATGTTTTGGACCGTGTACCCAAAATTATATTATTGGAGCAAGGTATTACTTTCTTCGCTCCAACTCTTAGGTGACTCGCAGTATTCATCAGCTCCTGTATTATGGTACCTCGGTCTCGTCTCCGAATAGGATGAAGGTATTCGGAACTGATGGCCCTACATAATATGTATAAATAGGTTTTATGACTGAAAATTATGTTACAGCTACAATAGAATAGAATTCTAATTAAAAATCTTATTATTTATTTATTTTCTCATCTCTAACTACTATTTACGAACGGGCATTTTATATACATACCTACTTGATACAATTTATGTAATAAATCCCACCCGAAGCCTTGTTAAATTTAAAGCTATTATTCTCTATTTTAGAATTGAAATGGACTTGAATAGTATGTTTTGTACTAAAATGTTAAAATTGTAATTTGTATTAAACAAAATAAAGTATTCAATAATATTTATTTACTTTTTCATTAAGATTTTTTTTTATGTAATTGGAATGACAAACAAGCTGATGACCCACCTGACAGTAAGCGGTAATCGTCTCAAATATACTGTACCACATATACAACATATGTATACTTATGTATACTATAAGTCCTACCGCAAATTTGGTGTGCCATATGTACATGCCCCCTAGCATCCAGTGGAGCTGTAAATGCCGGCAGCAGCTAACAGCATTAGAGTAGTTCGAAAAAAGGACCAATGATACCATTCATGCGTTGCCATTCTAAAGGACTAATATGTCCTGTTTCTTGAAATTACAGTATTATAGCTAGTGTAATTTCGGGGCAAGAAATAGGACGAACTAAAGTTATTGCTTTTGCTCACTGCTGGGAAATGGAATAGCCCATCCCGATATTATACAAATGTACCTACCACCCGAACAGTTGGAGATAGTACCACAATTATTAAATAATAATACCACAGATGACATAATATTACACAATAATATACTAATACATATTTATCAACTTCTATCTTAATATGTACGATAGCGTCATCTAGTAGACTAATTATAATACACTCTCAGTATGATTTTTCAAGACGTTCCTTAAAGGGACGCTAGAGGGAGCTATTACATTTTTTAAACTAATGATTAAAATTAAATATGTAAAACTATGAAAAACTTATATTAAAAAAAATATGAATGTTAAAATTTATATAGGTACTGGAACTAGATATTAATACCCAACACACTCCAGTTTGTTGTTTGTCAATTTCATTTTGATACTTATATATTTTTTTTAGACTGTTTATCCTTTAAAGGAAACGCAAAGGGATCTGCGCTCATACAGCCATGTCTGTACGTAATGACACTTAGACAACTGTTGCTGTTTTGTCAGTTACGTTATTTTAAGGTTATCCGAAACATTAAAAGAATAGTGGTAAACCCGTAAATAATAATACAAATTAAATATCAACTAACAACGATGGATATTGAAACGAAAATAAAAGAAGACATGAAATCGCTCGGCTGTAATTCCGAATTGAAGATATCCCTGACATTCCATTTATATATACATTTAGTGGACGAGAAACTTATGTACGACACCGAATATTGCTATAACAAGGATATAGACACATTGTATGTTGTTGCGAGGCCCAGTAAGAATGATAAACTAAATATCTACGTACCCATTCCTACGTACGACGATATAAGTTTAGATTTTATTAACAAAATGCAAGAGAATTTATGCACAGTAGAGACCGGGCCTACTATTAATTTAGCGTTTATAGAAAGCGATTCCACAACTGTTATTTACTCATTTACAAAAGGATTAGTGGAGAGACAACCTCCTGAGAGGGTTATAGAAAATAAGGCAAAAGAAGAGCGACGTAAATTTATAAATAAAGAATTGAAAAATCAGTGGAAGGAAATAATAGATAGAGCTTTGAATGGCGGTATTGTTGATGATGACGATTGTTTAATACTCGATTGAATCAATAATAATATACAATATTGACTGTATCAACTAAAGGAAGTTATTCTAGTCACAGAGTACCTACTACCTACAGATGAATTTCATTTTTAACACAAATATATTTTTTAAAATAACTGTTGTACAATCACACTGTTGACTTAATAAAAAAGCTGATAAGTTACTTCTACAGCTTAATAAATTCATAGAAAACCTGAATTATCTGTGGTATTATAATTGACAATTATTATATATAATTATAATTATCCTATGGGACATATGCTATAGCATAGAGACTCACAGCAGTACTAGCATGTAAGTGGGAAGCACTACCATGTAGATTCACCGGTCCAGTTTAATAGCAGAGCAAATACTAGAAAGCCAGAAGAATTGAGCATTGAATGATAATAAAAATAATAATTATCATAGACTATTCATACTAAGCCATTTTGTTACAAGGAAAGCAGTTGTGTTTTTTAAATACGTAGAAAAAACTATAACCAATACAAACAATAATATTTATGAATATTTGCATTGTATTGCAATCATTAGTCCTATACTGCTAAACCTATGAAACTGACCATGAAGTAACTTGAAGTAATGACCTTTGAATGTATACATAACTTCCTTAACTGAGGATTTCAACCTGCGACTGTAAAAAGTAAGGTGGTGTGCTGTAATGTAATGTAAGTTGGATTCCATTTTCCGCAATCAGCCTTTCATCTGGGCTGTTATACGTGAAGAGCCGAGCTACTAAAGTAGCCAGCCAAGCTCCTTCCAAATGTGCAGAAGTCTCCAACTGTCTTCACAGGCGTCATAGAGCTACCTCAACATTCCGAAGACTTGTTTCCGTTGTGTGGCCACTACTATGCACTCCAGGATTATGTTATCAGCCAGTTATTCGGCTTAGGACTATAGTCTGAAGGATGTGGTGTATTGGCACTACCGTCAATATATTAGTATTATAATATTTATTCAAATGTATGTTAGTCTGTAAGGTATGAGCCTGATATGGGCCTGAAATAAATAAATAAAGTAAACTTCACCTTGGTGGCAAAATTAGGTGATTCTAAGGTCCCGACTCAGATAACATTTTACAAAATCTATCTTGGTGACAACCAAAGATCCGAGTGCAGCAACTAAAACACTCAGGCCATTTTGGTGTTCATAATTAGCACCTTATTTGTTCTGAACTATACTTAGAAGCCATAGAAATTATAAAATATCCTAAATCTAAATATTAAAATTTTAATAAGAGTAACAATATTTTAAATTTAATACACACCAGCTACCTTCCTCAGCGTTGCATGGGTATACATATAAGCCTATCTGTTGAATCACTCTTACCTTTTGCTAAAGACTGCATTAAAATTTGTTGCATAGTGTATGAGATTGAAGGAACTTCATTTTATTCTGTTTATAGATATACATATATTATATTATGTAGTATGTCAATGTGTATGATAATCCAATATGACAATATTAATTATAATAATAATAATATGTTTATTTTGGCATCAATGGCCCATTTGTTAGTATTTTTTTCTAATCTATTGTGAGTAAAGTTCTTAACTCTAGTACTACAGTTACAGTCGTTACAAATTGTTAGACCTCTGTCTAACAAGTATACTCACACATTGTTGTATCATAGGCAAATCAATTTTTTTCATCAATGTGTTCAGAATGTTACGGTTAACTAGCTGTACTTGCAATTTCGTCCGCATGGAATTAAACTTTATTTTCTACAATAAAAGTAGCCTAAGATACTCCTTATTACATCAGCTACCTGCCAATAAAAGTCCCGTCAAAATTGGTCCAGCCATTTCAGAGATTGGCCGGAACAAACAGACAGACAGACAAAAATTGTAAAAAATGTTATTTTGGTGTATGTACCGTATTAGTATTCATATCCATGTAATAAAGAATGGTTATTTGAATATTACAGACACTCCAATTTTATTTATATGTATAGATTATCCTATTTCATAATAATATATAATGTAATGTAACATTTTTCTGAGGTGAAAATAAAATATTAATATGTATTCACAATGGTTCTTCTAATTTCTTCCTCAGTCATCAGTTGTTAATTTTATGACCATTTATACCAGGGTCATGTATCAGAGGCATGCACAAAAGAAAAGTAGATCCAAAAAACCATGTAGTTTTAGCCTTTCTAGTATAGAGACAACAAAAAAATTAGTGTCAAATAAAACCAGCAGAAAATATATAATAAATATTAAATATAGCATATTAATTGTTTTATTTTCAAAAACTTGTACCTTATATTTTATATTTGTATTCTATCAATGAAAGGATCAATCTTTGAGATAGATTTCTCTTAAATTACAATTTTACAGGATAAGAAGTATGTCATCTCAGTTCTCAAGAATGGGAATGCATGAGGAGTAACACAGGTATAATGTGATGGCCATAGTGATTTTCATGCATATAGCCTGTGGTCACTGCTTACCATCAAGTGGACAGTCAAATTCTTTAACATTAAAGTGACATAATAAATATTAAAGTTAAAACTTCTATAAAATTGGTTTAAATTAGATTACATAGTCTACATACCCTATGTAACTTATTTTTGATGACCTCGGTAGTTTAGCACACCGCTTTTCTACCGATGGGTGCAGGTGCGATTCTCGCATAATACAAACATTTGTATTCATAAGTATGATTGTGCCGGTCTGGGTGTTTCCTACATATATTATTTATTTAATTACAAAAAAAGTATCTATTTATTTATATCGGTAGTCTAGTAGCTGTAACACAAGCTCTGCTTAATTAGAACTAGATGGCGCTATATGAATTGTCCAAGGACTATTATCATTATTATAATTAAAGTCCTTTAAATGTACCTAGTTTTATTACTTTTAAACAACTTGACATTTTACAATTTTAATTGTCATTTTTATTTTTGCTCTATTAGTACTGGAACGAAATAATCGAAGTATTGGGAACTAGTGGACCCATTGCCAGCAATGTAGCATATCAAGTCAACCTCCACGCGGTAAGCCCTATAAGTCTTGGTAAATTTATAGTGATTTCTCCACAAGGGCCTAACTGAACTGACTTCATCCTAATCGTATGATCCATCATTGGTCTCCAGCCAGCACGTACTCTTAGCATTAGAGGGAGGACCATACAATTTTCAGATTAATAATCAGATAATCAATACTACAGATTACTGTAATAATGATTACAGCAATGTCAGTTGCGCTAGACTTAGTGATTATTTGCTCATTGAGTCAAATCACATAGTGCGTGTGTATATTTTATCCACAAGTCGTTATTGTTGAATTAATGGCCCTATTTAATATTTAGTTTCTTTATAGGAGATCTAGTAAAAATTTCTTCTAGTGGAATAACTTATTCTTATTATATGCCAATTAGAAATATTACCCCCTGAACACTAACCAAAAATTTAAACAATCGGATTCTTTCTAAAAAAAATATTTATTTATTAGACGTCACATAGTAGTAATCTGTGAAAAAGGTACACAGCAAATTTTATAACATCTACTCTGTGGAACAGTGTGACCAGTTTCCGATCGATTACCTTAGAAAAAAAAAACCGTTTATTCGAAAATACAAAAACCATTTTTTTCTGTTTATTTATACTGTGTAGAAAGAAATACTTTAAAGTAGAACTTAGAACTTTGTCTTATAAATACATGTAGCTCTCAAATTGTTTTACAGGCTGCTACATTTTGAATTAATATATAAAATCTGTTAGACAAAAACAATGTATGAAATGAAATGAAACTTTTATTTGCGAGGAATATCCTAACAATGATTAGCTATATATAAGTAGGCATAAAATATTAGTTCCAAACAGTAAATGTAATACATATAACACTTAGTTCTCAGGAACGACAATGGTGGTACTATGACTATGGGTTTATAGGGTTGATTAATATTATCAATATTATCTTCTTTGCACTATTCCGCTGTATATGGAATCCAAATTTTTAGTATTAGATTATATGTATATTGATTAATATTAAATAAAAAAATAATAGATCACAAATCAGAGAGGTAAGTAAGGTTTTTGTCCTGTGTAATAGATAATCTAATAAAAATGACATATATACATTTTAAAATATAGTACCTTAAAAAGTCAATTTTAGGGTAATGTAGAAATAAAAAGTGACAACACTGCTGTGGAAAACATCTACAAAAAAGAAAAAAGATTTCAACATTTTAGTCAGTTGTAAACAAAAAAGTGTTTGCTTTTTAAAGTTTTATGATTTTAAACTAGCTGATATTGAAGTTAAAGATATAAAAATTGAATTTGGAATTTCAATAAGAATATTTTGCGTCGATGCAAAGAATATTGAGCCGTAAAAAAAGGTAAGTACCCAGTTAATATTAAAAATTAATAAGATATGTTGAAAACTCAAAATGTCAGAAGAAAATTTAACATATTTTCTTCAAAATATTTTGATTTTTTAATTTCTGGCTTAAATGGTAATAGTATTTTAGTCTGCTATATAATTAATATTACTATTTATAGGGGAAATGCCCGAAATTACGTAGATGTATCTTTACATAGTATAAAATGTACTCTCTTCCGTTTACTGTTCGCTTAGATCTTTTAAACTACTCAACGGATTTTAATGCAGTTTTTAACAATAGTTAGAGTGATAGGACGGTTTATGTGTATAGTATATTTACATCCGTGCGAAGTCGGGGCGGGTAGCTAGTAATTTATAAATTTATTTTAAAAACTAATTAAAGAACTTTTAAGCACGTAGCGACATCTACTACGCAGACAGGACAACCACAAGTATGTGATTTGGATGATTTTAAAACTACTTAGTTGCGTTTACTTTGCGTTATTATTATCTTTAATTATTTAGCTTTCTAAATAGATATGATTCCAAAATAATATAATTTAACTGATATTCTGTAGATAACATATTTGTGGACATTGAGAATTATAAACACAATAAAATTTCTAATAGTCAAGTGATTAGCATAGGTAGTGTTTTTAGTTGTAATATTAGCCACTAGATGGTGCTAGTATTATTAAAATGATTGAATAAATGGTAATTTTGAAGACTACCTAATATTTTTTATTGATTTAAAAAGAAAACCATCAATATTTTTTTATCTATTTTTAATGTAAATGTATTATGTTTGTCAAAAAGGA